AGCGAACACTTCACGAAGAGCCCAACCTCAGAATCCAAGGAACACAATTCGAGATATAAACATCTAGGACACTGGTAGAAGCCACGCCGCGAGGACTCGAAACAAGATCAGCAGAAGTCGAAGTCCGAGCTGAGCATAGATGTGGCGGCAGTACAGGAACCAGCGTAGCTGGAGCATAGAAACAGAAATTTGATTCGTCGGCATCTTAGGCCGTGTTCCACCTCCAGTTCGAGGCTGTAATGAAGCAAAATAACCGGGCACTACGCTACTTGGTAACAAGCCTTGCCTTATGACCATCGACATCGGGGCGGACTGTTGCCGAGTTAACGCTCCGTGCTGCAAACGGCGTCAGGGGAGACCCTCCCCATCCTAAAGGATGCCATTGTGGAACTGACCTGGGACGGAGCCCCATACGCAGCAGTCACAGACGAGTTCATCCTGGGACTCATGTCTTGCACACTTTTCATGCATTCGTGGATCTAGGGCGCTACATGCTGCGACTGGGTCAGGAAGAAGTATCGATATGGAGCCCCTGGGCGCGGCCTCGACCAGCCCGCTTTGTGGTGGCCATCGACCACGTGATGCTTCACTGTGTGAAGGAGTAGTGATAGTACGACTGGAAAGTCCCCTTGGGGCGGAAAGTGGCCTTGTAAAACCGGAGAACCAAGAGACCCCCAACCCCGAAGTAAAGAGTAATGCAACATGACACCCAAAATGCGCAGTAGCGGGGCCAGAAGAGGCGGCCGCTGCTGGGGAACGGCGCCTTAAACACGTTTTCGCGTCAAAGAATACACACAGAACAATAGAAGAACTGTCGGAGCGGTGTTTCTACGCGTTCCTTGCCGAGGATATATCCAATTATCTATCCAAACCCTGTGTCTAGTCATTGACAACGTGAAAATATTATTGTTATTGCTATTATACATCGTAAAGACCAACAGTACGTAGTGTATAGTGTTTCATTATGCCCTGTGTTGTGAAGCCGTTGTATGCAGTTAGCAGCAATTGGCGCGTAGACTAAAACCACATCCGGTAAGGTTCATTTCCCTTTGCGATAACAAACGCGTTTGGATTTATGAAGGTCAGTAAATAAATTCTGATTCCTATTTGCAGTTTCCTGAAGTAGTGTTTTAATCATGGCTTGACCTGTTCAGCAACGCATAAATGTTTAGCCATTAAAGACTGGTAGTGACTGTATATTGTTAGCATGAGTTTCGAGGAAATAATCAGATAGCCTCTAAAGCATAATGGCTTCTGTAGTATGTACCACATGCTTTAACATTAGAAAACTTTTACATTGTTCCCTCCCAGTGTAGTAGTGTATTCCATATGGTTCTCAGAATAAACAACGATTATTTTGCTAAACGGCCGGTCACGGTAGCCGAGCGGTCTAAGGCATGCACTGTCTTCGCTCGCTTGGAAGCCAGGATCGTGGGTTCGAATCCCACTCAAGGCATGGATGTCCAGTGTTCGTGTGTAAAGGTAGAGGCCTTTCGACGAGCTGATCACACGCCAAAGGAATCCTACCGAATGTCTAATATCTAGTAAACCGAAGCGAAACGGAGAGTTTCATGGAGGTAGGCCTAGGCCCAAATTGGGGCTGTAGCGCCACAGAAAAAAAAATTGCCAAACGCCATTAACCGGTTGGTCTTTATGAGGTAGATTCAGCGTCATTTCTGTGAGACAGAAACTGAATATTTAAATATTGTTCAAAAGAAAATTGTGCTTTAAAGGGTTAATATTGTGACATATGGGCCGGTTCCAGGAAACGAATTGGCAAATACATTGCCACGGAGAGATTGATTCTTGGAAACCAACTGGTTACGGAACACGGTTTCCGTGGATACGGAAACTGAACGTTGCAAGCACTTAGAATCCAGATCGTTGCTTCTAAGTTAACACATGATTTCCGATACACCGCATTCAGGAAGATCAACAGGGGAACCATTGGAGGCGATGATCTCTATTCGGTTCTTTCGCTGTTATAAAAGTAGTTCATTCGTGCATTCAATGCAAACCCTTGAGGAGGCGGGGTCGAATACCTCCACTGTGACCCTGCAACTCGTAGGAGGCGACGAAAAGGGAAATCTCAAATCTGAGACAGTAAAATATGGTCGCGAGTTCCAAGGGACTCGGATCCAAGAAAGACTACGCTGGCGAGGGCCTGCAGCATATACAAAAGACAGACCTATCCTCTCGTCAGAGAGAGCGCCCCACAAAAAAAAGACCGTAACTGCCAGACAGTAATAAATATCTGATCATGAGCCCCAGATGGGGCTCGACACCATACATACTGATTGACCTTCAGTCGGAATGTGACTTTGACTTTGACATTCAGTGCAGAGGCTCCTAATGTAACAGTTTGTCTCTGGACAAAATGCTGAAAATAGTAGTAACGGTAGTGCAGCCGATTATGACAGAGTCTATTGCTGCTGTGTTAGAGGAGGCTAAAACAGTGGCCAATACAAAAATTGTCTTAAATCTCATGGAGCAAAATGGCCACTAGAGTTTATAGGCCCCTCAAAGTCATAGTATTTAATGCAAATGATATTATCTACTGTGCGGAGCCTGGACTGACAGAGGTATTGTATATATTATACATATATTTAATAACATGTAAATTGTACATACCGACAACAGACTTATTACTTTTGTGACTCTGACAAACGACAGACCCGTCCTCTCATCAGAGAGATTGCCCCACATCAACAAGCCTGCAACTGTCTCACAGTAATAAAGATCAGGTCTTAAGCCCCAGATGGGTGCTTTATTCCAAGACAGACTGGTCGACTGGCCGTCGTTCACTACATAACTCTGATTTGATTTGATTTGATTGTTTCAATGCAGTCAGATTCTTCATAGAGATTCGTCAGATAGATGTCGTTCAGGAGTTCAATGTACGAGCTGTTATAGTCAACTGTAATTATAAAGAAGTGCCAGTAAACCCAATCATCAAATACAGAACCCATTATTATTAGTCACGCTAACCCCGAATACGTGACAATATACACGTAAATACTGTATGGGATTTTGAACGTTTGAGTGGAGGCTTGATTTACCAGAGGGTTATGATACTGTGTAACTTCAATAGCCATAACTGTTATTAGTTGGGACACGGACTGGAAGGGGGCAGGTTACTGCTCTAGTCATGGTGAAATTTTTTGTTGTACTACCAAGGTTTCGGTCTCTTAGGGCTTGCGAGGGTCACTGCTGGCCCTATTATCTTTCGGATATCCCATAATTTCTTCTTTCCCGAAGTCTGTATTGTATTGCTCTTTTGGAGGGATTTTAAATCTCTCTTATCGTCGTAATATCATGACTTGCTTTTCTTTACAGTTTTCTCTGCTAGTACTTTTACTTAATATAGATCTCGTCCCCATCTCCACAGCTTCGGTCACAGCAACGATCAGAGCTCCTGCAAATGTACGCTACTCATTATATTTTAGTGATCTGTGTTGAATCTGTGAGCTGCCCAAATATCAATTACGAAATCTTCTGTAAGGCTCTTTGTTGCCCTTCTTATCATGCCAGCAACCCTGGTATGATATCCACTATGGCCGTATATCATATTTTCACACTGAGGTAGCTTCTTCAAGATCAACATTCTTTTTATTTGTTATATTACAGTATAACCGGTTTGTTTGTCCTGTATAGTGTTACGCCGTTCTGCATTACGGCATTTGATTCGTGTCAAAGCCAGATATCCACTATAGAAATTCCACACTACTTGTACATGGCACAGTATTAGTTCTGGCAGATCTTATCGTACCCTATAATATTAACCAGACCGCCTCTGTGGTCTAGTGGTCAGAATTCCTGCCTACAGATCCAGAGGGGCCGGGTTCCATTCCCGGTGCTACCAGATTTTCTGAGAAGTAGGGGGTCTGGAACGGGGTCCACTCAGTCTCGTGAGGATAATTGAGGAGCTATTTCAAAGAAATAGCGGCTTCGGTCTAGAAAACCGAGATTAACGGCCGTGGGGTTCCGTTGCGCCGACCACGTGACACCCTCTATCCGCAAAAATTGGCACTAAGTTCGCCGATAAGCGGCGGTCGCTCGGCGGTATAGTTCGCTTGAGGACTACAGGACACGGAGTTTGGTTTGTTTTCATTTATAATATTAACCTACCTCCCTCTCGTAAGGGAAATGAGTAAGCTTACGAAATCACTATTCTGTCTCTATGTGTTCCCCCTTTCAACTTTTGAACCAGTTGATGGGGCCTCTTTAAAATGGTATAGCGTTATGCCATTGGGGACAACCTTAACATCATATGTTTTATAATTTGCAATAATTGATAAATAATATATGAATAGAGTATTTCTTCAGAAAGTAAAAGTTGCTCAGCTAGTCAGGAAATTCACAATATTTTGTGCAATATCAAAGCATGTTACCATGTCCATGAACCCAGCATTGCTCCTTATCTTGAGCCAGATGAATCCAGTCCATGCCTTCCCTTCATGTTTCTTAAAAATCAATTTTTATGTTATCCTTCCATCTGTGTCTTGGTCTTTTTAGTCCTAGCGGCATCCTTCCTTTCAATTTCATACCAGAAACTTTGTATACATTTCTTTCTCTGTTCTGTATTTCGCCCCCGGACATTATCGTTATTTAGCAAGGAGTACAAATTACGAAGCTCCTCATTATGCAGTTTTCTCCAGGCTCCAGTTAATTCTTTGTGTGAAGTCCAAATATTCTCAGCACTCCATTCTCGAATGCACTGAGTCAGTGCTATTCCCTCAATGTGACATAATAAGTTTCAGCTTATAGGTTTAAGATAAGAATTAATTGTGCATTTTCTCTTACTCCTCTAAAGCAATGCAGAGAATTATTTAAAGTTATAATACTCTTGACCAGTAGAGTAAGATGACTGTATGTGTCATTGTTACAACTGAGTTGTGAGTGATTAATCCTGATAAGAGCTTTTATGTAATTTAAGATACTCGATTTATAGAAATATTATGAAAAGTAAGTTTCTTATACCAGTCTGTATCTATGTGCAGGGTGAAAAGGGTACATCCCCACGCAGGATGGACAGGTTACGACGGAGTTTTCGTGACAGTTTCCGGCGCCGCAAGGAGCATGTACCTGAAAGTTCTAAACCTCATCAGTGGCATGCTGATGAGGCTGGAGTCCGAGCAGGAACCTGTAACTTCCATGTCAAGGTAAGCTGTATCATTGACAGAGACTGCACCAAGCCTCTCCCTAAAGGAGGACCTGAGTTTGAGTCCTCCAGTTTTCTACCTCGCATAAAATCAGAGAATGTATCAACAGGATGTGCAGAAGGATTTATTGTATACAATGCAGTACAGTACAGTATTATAATGTGGCATATACACCCATTGCTAGGCAGAAACCTCAAAACAAACAACGAGTACAGCCGTTGCTATGAAGGGAATATAGAAACGGTCTGAGCAACGACTCTGTGAACACATTCCCACATAATATTCCAGCTATCGCTAGGCAGCCGCCCATAACAACAATAGAAAAACTTTTGGAGGTTGTGTTTTATGTTGCGTCCTCCCTGAGGCTATGTAGTGATGACCCCAGGCTGACTGAGAGTTCAGTTGAGGGTTGGCAGTTCAGTCGATCTCAGCAAGGGAGCCTGAGAAGAGATGGCACTGTAGTTGATTTGACAGATGGCAAGAGTTCAGTTGTGGGATATTCGCCAGACAGTAACTATGCAAGCGGGGGAACCTGAAGAATCTTCAGTGTTAGAAGCTGTCGCTGGGGAACAGCAGGCTGGAAAAGAGTTTTGTGGGTGTTGTGGTGATCTGTGAATTGTGGAGATTAGCAGTGGCTCTGTAATTACTTTTAGTTCTGAATAAGTGGTCAATAAATCCATTCACCAATCTATACCCCATCTATAGTCACACACAAAAACGTGACAATACATGCTCTAACAATGTGCACCCTTTTATAATGAGTACTATCAGTATCTGTGGACGAGAATGGATAATGAATATCATTCTTCAAAAGCACTTTTTGTATCCAGATCATAACAGACTTTCACTTGCAGTCAAATAATTTCCTATCTTTCATTCCAAGATTTTTCAGCACAGTAAACTCAGTTTTGAAGATGGCTTATCAAAATGCATTATGTATATATGAAACTTCGTATCAAAAATGTGGTATTGTCAAGAGTGCCGAAACCTTCAGTTTTTTCCGCTATCTTAAATTGCGTGAAAATGGAGTACTTCCTGTGCTGTTAAACAAGTTCACTGTTTTGTCACAAGAGCTCAAATGACATTAACATTTCACCCATTCTGATCAAGTAATATGGGGTTATTGAAAAGAAGGCCAAGTTTCTGGATGCAATAACCTATGAAATGTGAACCAAACGAAGTACTTTTTTTCCCATACCTCGGAGAAAATATCAACAGTTTTCTGCTTCCTTAACAAGTCTCAACATCAGTACTGTTTGTAGCTCTGCAAACAAAACAATTGCATTGTCTTTCTTCCTTTCAGTGTTTTCAGTCAGTGGAAATTCTGATAACTCTAACATGTTGAGAGAAATGTTTTTAGCCTGATTTCCTTATTTTGAAAAAATAAAGTAGTCTTTTGAGATCAATATTTGTAGTGTAGTCTTTGTCTCTATATTTGTATCCCTCACTACGATGTATTAATGTATGAATTGCTGAACCAGTCTGTATGAAACTTGGTATGTATATCAAGGCATTTGAGCCCATCACAACAGTATAATCCCTACCTTTAGTAATACCAACATTACATCCTCTCAAATATCTGAGGCACAACCTTAATATTTCTTCGATGCTTATACCAATTGTAATGAAACTTGGTCTGCGTATCATGCCACATGAAGCCATCTCAGTTTCATACTTCATAAATCCCATCGATCAGTAAGTAATACCAAGGTTACAGCCTCTCAAATTGTTACTGTAATAACTGTAGTGTAACTTAAATTCCTGAAATAATGGTCCTGGAACTTATTACATGTCTTGCCACCTTAGTCCATTTCAATAGCATACATCATAAATTCTTACCATCATTAATACCAGCATTATAGGTCCTCATATTTCTGAGTCGGAACCTTAATATTGCTTGCTATGTATATCATGCCACCTGAAGCCATCTCAATGGCGCACTTCATAAACTCCATCTTTCAGTAATACCAACATTACAGAATCTGAGATTGTTTTGGTAATAACTGTAGTATTACTTAAACTCCTGAACTTATCATCCAGGAACTTAGTACATGTAACATGCCACCTGAGACCATATCAATGGTGTCCGTCATAAATCACTATATTCAGTAACACCAACAAAACAGCCTCCCAAATTGTATTGTTTTATTGACTTCATTATGCACACATACTAAAGTTTCCATTATACTTGTTGTTTCAGATACTGAAATTAAAGTGGAAGGAAAGTAGGCTGTTAGTTCTCCTCAGAACTTCTTAATTATATTTGCTGCTAAGCAGGGGCGTAGGGTACATGGATGTGGTGGAAGCATTGCTTCCCTATAGAAAAGCAACCAAGAACATTTCTGGCAATTTTTCAATTTCAAAAAAATATTTCATACTTCAAAATATTAATTAATCTGAGAACATATATTACATATAATGAGAATATTGCAAGTTTTAATGTGTTACATAGACAATTTATCAGGATAGATCAGTTATTTTCTTCCAAAATGCAGGGAAATTTAAACTGCAACACCCGCGGAAGCAGCAGGTCTTTCGCTTCCACCCTCCCCTGGGTTAACTGGCTGACTCAATGTCAGTGTTGTGTGTAAGTGAGCTATGCGCTATGGTATGCTACCAGCTTCGTGCTTCCAGCAATGTTGTCAGATGTAAGGCACAGTTTGCAGTAGAATAATCTGTGACCTTGCAGTTAAGCGTGCTTACTAGAAATTCGCAGAACCAGGATAGGTTGTCATCACTGGCTTTGATGAACATTGAAAAGTCCTTCCTAAACAAACTGCAGTCCAAACCCATTTTTCTAGATGAGGTTATTGATCTGTTTGCCAAGAAAAACAGAAGAATCGAGCTGAATTATAAACAATAAAGTAAGCATTAATTATATTCCAGGTTCACAGCCCTCTCATTTGATGGCTATAAAATTGTGTTGATAATTATGTGTTATTTTAATATATTACCTTAAATTTAGAATACATATTAAACTATTAGCTGTTTTCTTTTAAATAGAAGATAGAAACTATAGGATATGTAGAAAAAATTTATATACACGTATATAAAGTTGCTTCCCTGCTTTCGGTAGTCATGCTACGCCACTGCTGCTAAGAGAGGTTCTTCCACATGATCATACAGAAGTCAACCCATTATGTTCACTTTCAGGGCATCCAACATGAATTCCAAAGCTTCACCTGGCTGTTCTGCCCTTAGATTTGACAGTCGTGACATTAATATTGTTATTTATATGAAATGAAGCTTTGCCTATGAAAAGTACTCATATTACAATATTGTCATTTTCATTGATTTCATTTAACTTTAAATTTGCTTATTGAACTCCTTTCAGAGGATTGTCAACCTTGAAGAAAGCAGTCTTCTGGGATTTGGCACCGTGTATATGTGGTGTTAACCGACGTTTCGGAGGAACATATCGCCCCCATCACCATGGTGATGATCACGGTAAAGCAGACTGTGACAGTCTGCTTTACAGTTTCTCATGGTGTTGTCGCTTGCAGATTTCTTATACTTTTTCTTCTACCCTGAAGATGGGGGCGATATATTCCTCCGAAACGTCGGTTAACACCACATATACACGGTGCCAAATCCCAGAAGACTGCTTTCTTCATAGTCACCGCCGTGAAAGCCTCAAATCTTACAGATTGTCAACCTTGTTATTATGTCTGATCTGAATGTTGTAAACATGTCATCAAAGCCACTTATGCAAAGTGGCTTTGGGTATATCAGTTGGCGAACTGCAACAAGGAATACATTTCTTTGAAGTCCATACACACAGTATTGTTATGCAGTCAGCATCCTCATTTTAAACCCTTGGTATATATCTCAGAATCACTGGGTTTTTGGACTTTGTCCATCATCGGGTATTCTGGAAACTAGAAAACATCCTTTAGAATCCACCATGGTATATCTGCTCGTATTTGCTATAAGATTCATCCTGTTCCTTAAATTGGGTACAATAATGACAAATCAATTTGACACATGGAGGTTCTCTTCCATGCATGTGTCAAATTGGATTGAATAGTTACAGTTTGCCCTCCAAACTGTAAGTACTTAATGCACAGGACTTTGAACAGATGCCATCATACTGTGTAAGGCACACAGTGTTATTGCAAGTGTGTTGTGTGTGTGCACGCACATATACAGCAAAGGAGGAGTAAAAAGTAACGATTTGTTGATCATTTCAGAGTGAAATCCACAATCCAATGTTTTGAATTACATGAGATATTAACATTTGAAGGTAGAGAGTTCATTTTCAGTGGTCTCTGTAAATAATATAAATGTGGTATCTGTATAGGATTTGAGGTTCTCACAGGTGTGGTTATGAAGAATTCCATCTTCTGAGATATACCACTGTAAAGTCCGTTAGAAGTCAACCACTGTTTCAGAGAAACATGTCTGGTCCATCTTCAGGGCCAAAGAATAAGTCAAACATGGAACTAACATGAAGCAGGTAGCCTGATGATGAAGGTAACTTGTTCCTCTGAAACGCTGGTTGATTTTCAGTGGATTACACTGTATTATATCCCAGAGGATAGAACTCTTCTATGTAGTGTCTGTCCAACCCAGGTGTGCATATGACTGGAAAGCTCCGTGGAATTTGTGCAGAACAGTTATGTAGTTTAAAAACCTTTATCTCAAGATTATGTAGTTTTTCTTTTATTTCAGAAACTTATGATGGTGCATATTTAAATGGCTCTTTCTTCAGGAATATAATGTTGTGTAGTCTGTTGAAAGTCAACTGACATTTCAGAGGAACGTGTTGCCTCCATCTTCAGGGTTCAAGATTAAGCCAAGCAAGAAACCAGGGTCTTTTCCGCAGCCTGCTTAATGCTGATCTCTTGTATGACTTATTTTTCGATCTTGAAGGTGGAGGTGACATGTTCCTCCACTCAGCAGACCACACATCATTATTTCTTGGGAGATTGAACTGTTCATAACCACTTCCGTGAGAACCTCAAATCTTACATTGTGAATACTTTGTCTCTCTTTGCCATGGTGATAGCTCATCATGTAGAATTTAATAGTTGGTTTAGAAAGCAGTAGATCAAACAGAAACCATGAATCTGGATATTGCATATCCCACATTCACCTTAGCTTTTTAGCAGGCTTAGCTGCAAGATGTTTGTAAAATAAGTGATCAGAGTAGCACTGAAACTAATTATGTTTACTAGTTCTATTACAATTTCTGTTGCAAAATACATTAAAAAAATAATCAGTACAGCAACCCCAGGCTTGTACATTCTCACTAAGCAGCTGAGAGGTTCACAGTCATCTGATCCTGGTACAGTGTATGAAATTTGGGATTTTAATATAATTTTGAATCTGTGGTTCACTTATTTTTCAGCCCTACTTATTAAATGTATGTGGAACGTAATCTTGAATCTGTCATGTCAATTTCCATAGATTTTTGACACAGAACTTTGTATCTAATTAGTTAAAGCTGAATCAATTGGGTATATACTCATATAGTCTTAAGCAGATGTTTTTCATTCAAGCATTATATCATCTGAGATTTCATAAATATCGAAAACTCTTTTATATCTCTTTGTTTGGTATGACAAATTGTAAACGATGTAGCGTGAAGTCTGCTAATGCCAAACTCTCTTCATTGAAGATTCTGCTATGAAACTTAGATGGATAACAAATTAATGTAGCAGTAATGTCAAATTTAATATTATTTTATTTCTCAAATTTAATATTATTTTATTTCGATTTCTGTAATTTATTCTCTTCTAGTATCTTGGTTGTGTTGAAGTGTTCGAGTCAAGAGGGATGCAAGTCTGTGAAGAGGCCTTAAAAGTATTACGAGTAAGTAACTTTTTGTGTGTGTTTGTACTCATCTGTTAGCGTTTCTGTTAAGAGGGATCTTTATCCTATTCAGTATAGGCAAAACATATAGAAAAACGGAAATATTATAATTCAGCCAGAACCCATGGCTGTTCAAAATGTGGCGCCTAAATTGTACTGAACCAAAGAGAACTGTGCTGAAAACTGACAGTTACATGAAGTATCACTCTGCAGTATGTAATTCAATCCATAAAAACAAGTTCTGATATCCTTTCTCACTTTGTAGTCTTGAGGTATAGCCAGTTTTGACCTAGACTACATTTTGGGAAAAGTCATGCGACTGTCACAGTTCACTGTGAATTATCAGTATGATATGAGTTGGGGTAGGTCAGTTGGTATAGTGTTGGCTACAGGCTGGGTGACCAGGGTCTAAATTCTGGCAGGGGCAGAGATTCCTCTGTCTTATACATTGTGTGGACTGGCTCTGGGGCCCAGCCAGCCTTCTATGCAGTGGATATACCTGGCTATATAATCTTCTGGGACATGAAGCCGACCATTCACATTCAACTAGTGCTGAGGTTTAGAACTACTGCATATGTCCTCATGCTTGGTGTTTAATTAAGCACAGAGACAACTTTATCTTTATCACTACAATACAGGTCTGTGAAACAATCTCTGTTTGGCTTCCATATTTTGCAATAAAATACTAAGACCAAAATGTTTGCAGTGTCTGTTGAGCTCGGAAAACTTATCTGCTAATGAAAAGCGATTTATTTGAAGAAAGCAGTCTTCTGGGATTTGGCACCGTGTATATGTGGTGTTAACCGACGTTCCTCCGAAACGTCGGTTAACACCACATATACACGGTGCCAAATCCCAGAAGACTGCTTTCTTCATAGTTACTGCCGTGAAAGCCTCAAATCTTATACAGCGATTTATTTGTCTCGTTGGACTGCACTTTTGAAGTAAATGAGTATACAAAATAACATGGTACCAGTCAGATGCCAAACCGTCCAGTTAGAATCAGTTTTATTATGAGGAAGATTATTATGAACACGTATGCTGTTACAATTATGTTATAGATTTGGTCATCTCCAGTATGGGAGCTTGAAATATAAATTACTCATGGTAACATAAGCCAATAGACCTATTTTAAAATGTTCACGTGGGAAAAATTATGCGTTTTTGCAGCAATTCAGATCCCACTTGTCCCATTATACGAGACAGCCCAGGCATGTCTTGTCATAAAAAGGTCAAGTTGTACCTGTTCTTAGATAAGCAATACACCATGAAGTCATGTAGGGGAGTGGAGGTATAGCTCTGCCGTTCTTCACTCCAGCACTAGACGGAAGTGAGTGGTCAGATTCATGCCTCTACCACTTTACCCCAGGTGAAGGAGCCCCCAGTACCCATTGTATAAGAGACTGCTTAGGCCCCAAAGTTGGCCTGGATGCTGTGGAGTAGAGAAAAATCTGTTACCCTTGCATGTCTTATGACTGTGTAGCCAGTATACTAGTGATTAAACCATATGAAGAATTCAATTATTTGCTTGTTTTCAGAACTCCAGAAGAAGACCAGTTAAAGCAATTTTGTATGTATCTGGAGATGGCCTCAGGGTTGTAGAAGACGAAACTAAGGTACAGTATAGTAATTAATTTTGAGTGTTACTGGATGTGTGCATGAATGCATGAAAATTGCAAACTGAAAAAAGAGGTGGTAAATATTGCCTGTAGATTATGAATCCAAGGCCATCAACACACTTAATCGCTGTAAAGGTCTGCAGTTTTCTCCTAATCACATTAAACCTAATTTCACATATCTCTGAATTGCAAATTTTTCTTCCTAGTGCAGGATTTCAGCCAAAGGGCTTTTATAGTTGCAGCTCCAGCACCAAAATGATCATGTAATGTTGATTATATACACTGCATAAACAGAGTATAATTGATGTGGTTCTCTGTACTGCAGTGTCATATCTGAATGACCCTGTCTCACATGCGAAAGAAGCAATTAGTTTAAATAAGTTTTCCATAGTTTTAAATGCACCATTGTGAGTTGTCAGTTTGTCTGTGAAATAACAGAATATTGTTTCCTTTCTGTATTGGTTTTTTATATTGCTAGTTCGGTGGGACTAAGTCCCTTGTACCAGCCCCAGATGATAGGTGAGGGTGATTGTGGAGCAGTTGGTGGAATGAAGATTGGCAGGGGAAACTGAAGTACTCAGATAAAACCTGCCCCAGCACCACTTTGTCCATCACAAATCCCACTTGACCAGACCCGGGATCGAACCCAGGCCGCCACAGTGGGAATCCAGCGACTAACCAATTGATCTATGGTGCAGTCTTTCTGTGTTATTAATTGAAACATTAGTTTTATGGGAACTGCCATTTCCCCCCTGTCCATGCCATATTAGTAGATCATTACAACCCATTATGTACATTGTTTCTGGGTTTTTAAAGTCTGTCTATGACACTCATCTCTTCACATTACCCTACAGTAAATGTTATATGTCCACCTCCTGCCTGAATACAGACAGGCTTCAGCTCAATGTCTCATTGCCACCTGAAAATGGTCCCAAATTTCTGGCATGTTGCTAATTATATGAAAACCTGCCACAATTTGATTTTGGAGTGTTTCCACATCATTCACTGAAGACGAATACACCAACGATTTTAAATGGCCCCACAAGTAGAAATCCTGTGGATTTAAATCAGTTGAACATGGAGACCAGGCAATTGGTCCACCTCTACCTATCCACCAGGAAACTTTCAATTCAGGTACCTGCATGCAATGAGACTGAAATGTGCGGGAACACCATCATGGATGAAGTGCAATTTTTTGATGAATGATCAGTGGCACATTGACAAAGAAATCAGGCATATTGTGTTCCAAGAAAGCTTTGTACTCGTAATTCCTCCCAGTAAGCCTGTTTGGAAGTATGTGGAGTCCAAATAAATTATTACCACAAATACCGGCACAGATGTTAATGGAGAACCGCTGTTGGTGATATGACGGAAGATTGCATGTAGATTCTCATCTGCCCACAGATGCTGATTGTGAAAATGGATTCCATCTCCTGCAAACAGTGCTTCATCCATAAATATCGCGCAGGCAGGGAAATTAAGAGTTGTACCACACTGTTGTAAGAACCACTGGCAGAACATTACTCACATTGGGTAATCTTGTAGTGACAAGGCCTGTACATGCTGCACATGGTAGGGGTACAGCTGTTGTTCTCACAACATTCCCCAGACAGTTGAATGAGTGACACCCAGTTGCATTAATACCCTTTGTGCGCTGATTCCAGGAGTTTCATTCCAACATCCAGCATATCCTCCTCTGCTTCATGAGTCATAGATCTTGGTCATCCCCTGTTGGCAACAGAAGGTGCAAAATCCCCACGTTCACAAAGGCGGCAGTGGGTACTTATTGACCTCCTATCTGGACATCTTCATTCTGGATACCTTTCTTGGTACAAACAACGAACCACCACAGCATTACCGTCCATCAACCCGTGCATGAAATTCATGTTGGCTAGCTCTTGATTTGAATACATCCTCTAAACAACTTGCAGACACCACGCACTTAACATACAATTACTGTACACATCTCCTGTTAAGATCTGGAAACTTTCCAAGATTCTGTCAGACTGATCCCACGACTGTTGTAATGTAGTGAATGACGGAAACCATTTTCTGAAGTTAGAAAATTCAGTTTATCTTCACGGGTTATAGAAAGCCTTAACTCGGAAACCGTGCATTGATGTAAACTATTTTTATTATCCACACATGAGGAACTCATTCCTGAAGTTATGCTGTGTATTTTTGAAACATGACATGACATCGAAAAGCTGGAATATGGTGTTGTAATTGTCAGTAGTGAAGATCAATGTTTATGCAATAAATCCCTTTATCAGCCTGAACCCTATGTCTAACCACAAACATGTGACAGTATACATATACACAAACCCCCCTTCTCAAGATATGTTTGACCAGTACTCTCATGCTAGGTTTCAGCCTCAGGGCCAAAACATACAATGCAGTGACAGATATGCAGATTTGATGAGGTTACTGACATCCATCAATTGTTGGTATATATATCCTGCCTGAAAAAATATTCAATCATGTGTATCCACTTATGTGCAGTTTTTTTATGTGTGTTTTAATCATGGCAGAATTGACTGAAAAGAATGCTGAATTCTTAAGTGTTTGAGGAGAGAGGCAGTATTACATCTTTAAACCATCTCATAGTGTAGTGCAAACAGTCATTAAATTTTGAAGGATAGTAAATCAAATCACAATGACAGTCATATCCTGAAAGCTTTATAAATTGTTGTAGTTTGTAGGTTATAATGTCTTACATGTGTGTTTCGTTTATTTTACTAGGGACTGATCGTGGATCAAACTATTGAGAAAGTTTCATTCTGTGCCCCAGATCGGAATCATGAAAAGGGTTTCTCATACATTTGTCGAGATGGCACAACAAGACGTTGGATGTGTCATGGCTTCCTTGCATTAAAGGAATCAGTAAGTATTTTCAGGATGAACTTTTGAACTGGTGATAGCTTTCTCTTTATAAGTCAAAATATTTTGTACATTTTCATGAATTAGACATTAAATTTAATGACATGTATGGGTAGTTACTGATTTTTAACAAAGTATGAAGTGTAGGAAGTTATATAGTGGGGTGTACGACCTTCTCAGAGTGTGAATTGTGCCGGAAGATATTAAGCTGATAATGGACCAGTGGTGTAAATTTCAGCCATATGATATATGGTTAATTTTTCATTTTAGTTGACATTTCATTTAACAGCATATAGCAAATTTTCTAAACCATAATACATTTATGCAGATTGTAAAGGTCGTGCCATAGCTAAAGCGGTTAGTCACTGGCTTTCCACTGTGGCGGCCTGGGTTCAATCCCGGGTCTGGTCAAGTGGGGTTTGTGGTGGACAAAGTGACACTGGGGCAGGTTTTCTCTGAGTACTTCAGTTTCCCCTGCCAATCTTCATTCCACCAATTGCTCCACAATCACCCTCACCTAACATCTGGGGCTGGTACAGTAAGCCAGAAGTGGCCGCAGTACAAGGGACTTAGTCCCACCCCACTAGCAATAAAATAAATATGCAGATTATAAGGTAAAAAACATATACTTTGATGTTAGGGAAGACAACTCTTAATTATTCACTCTGCAAATATTACCTATTCTCCAGTTTTGATTTGAAATGTACTTTTTTCCTCACATTGTATACACTTCCTATAAGTGTAATGACATCTCTAAAACTGGGGGAAATTGTTTTGAAGGAAATAGAATTTATTTTTTAACATTTGAGTTTCTTGAAGCATTGATTATGATGATTACTGGTTGAAATTACTGGGTTTTTGGTCTTTGTCCATCGTCTGATACCAAAAAAAAAAAACTAAGAGGACACAACGTTTCAGAGACTGGATCTATTTCCGTCCTCAGTTGAGGGAGGAGACACTGCATGATCTGACATGATCTACCATACCTTTAAATTGGTTGTGTGTAGCAGATTGAACATATTGTAACGTGTCTGGAGTCCAGAAGAGACACTTCTGTGGAAACGCCAGAATAGACCGTTGCATAATAAACAACAATTGCTCTACTGTAGTTCTAACAGGAATCTCCACGGTTACGACGAATACGCGAAGGTTCCCACAGAGACAACGCGATAACAATGGGTTATTGCGTAGGAAACGCGGAGCCAACAATGCAACGTCTCCACCGCTATAACAGAGGGTTCGTTACCTAGCAGCGGCCAAGGATAAATAGCCCAGCTTCGACACGAAGCCAGTCAGTCTCGGAATAGTCTTCGGAGAAGACAGAAGTCTCGGAACAGGCCTCGAAGAAGAGAGTCTCGGATCGCCCGTCTAAGAAGTCAGTTCGGAATATCCGTCTAGACAGTCCAGTGTCGCCGAGTTATTGTAAGCAGTGGTTGTAACACTGCGAGTGCAAATGGAAATCGTTGTAAAGGGGTGTGTCAATGAGCGAAAGAAATAAATTCGCTATATATCAGACGACGGCGTCAACTTATTTGTAGCGTGACACACCCGAACACACTACAATAGATATTTCCATTTGGCAGCAAGAGCCTGCCATGCTTTTCCATCTTAAAAATTCTTCCCGTCTCCACTCTTGATTTTGCTTTCTTTGTAACAAGTTGTGCAAGTATAGCTGTAGGAAAACTTAGGATTGCCTGGCCTTGCAAATCTAATCAGTGATCTCATGAATCTGATCTCAGCAATATGCGAAACTCATTTAATTATTTCTAATGCACACAGGGTGAAAGACTAAGTCATGCAGTAGGCTGTGCGTTTGCTGCATGCCTGGAACGAAAACAAAAAAGGGATAAAGAATGTGGGGTCACAATGACTTTTGATCCTAAAAACTCAACATTCACAAGAACAGGCAGCTTCAGACAAACTTCAATTACAGAGAGGTTGCAGGATCCACAAGAACTGAAACCTATAGGTTAGTATTATGCACACGTTCACTTACTCTACTTTACATTTAGAAACGTTATAAAGGATGTTGTTGCACTCATTTGAGGGATTTCTATTCAGAGTATTCTGTACCCAGGACATATTTGTCGAAGAAAATAGTCTTTTCCCTTTTTGGAGAAGATGTCAAATTGGTACTGTTTGAATCACAAGTATAAGTATATGAAAATATTATATTTAAACATGTTATGGTATTACTCTGTGACAGATTTACTACAGTAAAACCCTTTACAGTGCCCCTCTTTATCCCATGACCCTCACATTGCACACATGAAAACCTAAAAACAGAAATGCTTTATGTAATTTGAAAGGAAATTCCTAGGTAAATTACCACCACCACTACTTAACATCCAATAACATCCCTGGCAATGCAGATGTAATAGGTTCAATATGATGCCATACTGTTTGGTTTCCATTGGCTATACAGCCAACTCCCTCCAATATTTAGATGTAAAAAATATAGCATCAACTTGTCTTATAACAAGTAAGACATGCTGTACAGTGCTTAGGTAAGAGACCATCTGTAGTGCCTTAAGGAGGGAATTGGGTTGTTGCTTTGGGTCATTAGTGTAAATGGCAACATTCCAAATCCAGGTGAACCTGCTACTGGAAGGACATCGATTTGAAAATAAAAGCTTTGCTGTGAATAAGCTGCATTAGTAACAAGTAAAGTTACAAATATTCTGGTTGAGCAGTTACAATGAGTCCATTATTGAAAACTGTTTACTATAATAAAACATTTTATGCTTCTTGTATGCCATTGTAGCATTTTTAGTTACATACGACTATGACCTGACGACGGAAACACTCGACATTTTTGTGTAAGCTCTCTGTAACTGTAAATATTCTTTAAGAAGCACTGCCACTATTGAGGCACATCTGCTCACACACATATGCACATTTCTAGTATTGCATGGTTTTCTTATATTTATGTTTTAATTTAATTAATTAATTAATTTGTTTATATTTTTCCCCATAAAAAAATTCCATTTCCATAACTTTTGGTTCCACAGTTTTACGTTAAATGTTGGTGATTCCTTCAGAAACAGAATAGTAGAAGTTTCACAGTACTTTAGGGAACAAATTGAACCTTCATTTTACATTGTAGTTGATAGAATATTCACTACTTATAAATAGATAAGCAATTGAAAGCTTTTCATTGGTTGAATATACCGTGTTCATCCATTATCATAATGGTATGATTCTTGGATCCAGCTACTGTATGTACACTATGAATGCAGGTTAGTAATTGCAGAACATTTCAAGGTGAATTGCGTAATATAATAAGACTGCAGTATCTCTTCCATGTGTGTTCCATAATGTTGCTGGTTGTGATGGAAGAAAATAAAACGACAGATTGTCTTAAGACAGAATTAATTTGCAGAAATCTGTTCTCTGTACTGTTAAGAGTAGTGTGCAATAACTGCACATAAATTATACCCTGTATTTATTCATGTCTGTTGGTTTCAGAACCACCACCTGTGAAGCCTGTGTTTAATCCATATGCCATTGAAAGACCACATGCTACAGTGTCCATGCTGCAGCGCCAGGGTTCATTTCGAGGGTTCCAGCAGTTAAATCAAGCTTCTCCATTTAAACGTCAGATGTCACTTAGAATCAGTGACCTTCCCTCGACACTTGAGAGACAACGATCACTTAGCCTTGAAGGTTCAGACTTTCGACTTCCTCCCATCCATATGAAGGCTCCAGGTAAGTTAATCCATTCCGATATGATTATTAGATTGGCAGGCAGATTGTGAATGTGTTAACCAGCTTATTGAAATATTTATGACATAGCTTGCTTTGTCAGAGGGTGAAGAATAGAAAGAAAAATGTGGAAGGTAATGTAAGTTTTGATGANGCTGCGCCTTTCACTTCCTAATCATTAGAGCTACTGTTCTCTGCATTCACAAGCCATTCACCTGCTCTGAAGATGGAGGCAATACGTTCCTCCGAAACGTCAGCCAAAACGAAGAATACACGGCGCCAAAACCCAGAAGACGACTTTCTTCATGTGGAAGGTAATGTTTTGAGAATCAAATATCAGCTTTCAAAATGTAATTTCTTTAAAATGTATTGCACTGATTAGAAGGGCAAAGAAATGACACTTAAAGAGGATGAGGTCTGAACTGTGTGAAGGATGAGAAAGGATGAATTCCTGGTGTTTGATGGTTGTTTGTGACATATACAGGAATTTACTAACTTCTTATTCCTTTAAAACAGATGCTTGGTCTTCTCCATCTTTCCTTTTTGTCCTCATTTCTCACATTCAGCTCTTGTAGATTATTCTCTACATCTTTCAGCAATTTCTACCTTCTGACTTACTTTCAGAAATTTTCTTAACTACAGGCTGAGAACGTTCCATATAGCAAGATATAACTCATTCTTATAAACTTTCCTTAGTCATTTACCGAAATTATTCAACCGCCATCTTTCGTTAGGTTTCTGAACATATATTACACTCAACTCTCGATTATCCGGGATAATGGTGGGGATGGAAATCATGATTAATCGAAAACCTGGTTAAGACAGATTTTATTAAAAGTAGTACTTTAATACTGTACCTTCATAATACTATAGGCCTACCTGTATTTAAATTTATTCAACCTCATTTTTATGTCATCTCATGGCCTATTTAATACTTTTTTTACATTACACTGAAGTATGAATTAGTTATTTCAATCACAGTCTTCAACAACATCCAACACTTAACACTTAAAAAATTTAATATTGTCGTTTGCTTTTTCGCGGCATTTTCCTCTTTACGGATATCCATACGAAGCCTACATAATATTACAATTATTATTTTGCTGGACATTATCCATCATCTTGTCTATTCTAAAAAACAGTCTAGTTTCTATTAAAAAACACAACGTTTCGAGAACTGGAATCTGTCCCCGTCTTCAGGTAAAACCACTCAGTTGGGTCCAATAGACAGAACTAGCCCCCTAGAAACTAGACTGTTTTTTAGAATAGACAAGATGATGGATAATGTCCAGCAAAATAATAATTGTAACAATTTACCATCATCACAAACTTTTAGATCTTATCTACATAATATTAGCTTGTCACTTAATAAACTGTTCTCTTCACTCTCAAGATAGTCTAGTAAAGATTCCAAATGATTAAGAGCAGCACTGTCTACCTCTTCCTCATTCTCACTTTTGTTTTTTCAAATCTCGAACAGTTTGTTCTCCAATACTGTATTGCATTGCTAATTGTTTAACTACACCTCTTTTCCCCAGCTGATTGATAATTTCAAGTTTCTGATGAATACTTAACACAACACGCTTCCTTTTACACCCTGACATTTTGCTAACGCACTTGAAGATCAATACAAAGATACTAACTGGGGCGATGTATCTGTCCTTGAAACTTTCCACAAATCCTTGCATTCTTTCACCCCTACCCTAGAACATTGTGTTAGCATAACAGGACCAAAGAATGCAGAGCTCGGTTCACACTAGTGCGAAAATAGTGTTACAACTCACCATGTGAAACAAAAGGGAATGAATATTAAACAACATATAAGCCTCAAAAAAACCTCAGTAGCCCCGGATAAGCCGCAAACCGGTTAATCCGCCCCCAGATAATCGAGAGTTGACTGTACTTCCTGAGGTGAGGTTCCCATGTGCAAGTGCCAACATAAAGGACTAGGGACTAGCTACTTTTTATCTGGCCCCTAATCTTTATTTTGTCTAGCTTGTTTGAATCTACCAGGAGCTTATGCCCATGCAAACTTTCTTACCATGTTAAGACAGAAACCCATTGAGACTATATACAGGCATTGAACTTGTTCAGAATATTGATGCATTGTTCTGAGTTGATTACTGACTTTGTAGGCAGGAAGCCTACCAACACAGCTCCATGAATTGTTCAAGAAGCAGTAACCATAATCTAGTCCATGAATCTCTGTGTCTTCATGTTTTTTGGGCATGGGAATTGTGATAGCCGTTGTTCCTAGACTACCTGCTTGTCACAGATTTGTCACTGGTTATTATATGTATATGAGAGGAGGTCTTAGCTGGTTGTAATGTTGGAGAAGTTCTAAGCATAATTGTGTATACAGTATTCTGTTGTCTTATTCCTTGATAGTTATCTAAGCTGGCATCAGTAATAGTTTGCTTGCAAGCCAGTTATTTCCAATTAATTCATGTCCTCAGATGTTGTAGTCATTTGCTGCTGTTACCGATCATATACTACAGATGTCAGCCACAGACATTTTATCTTTGAACAGGGTAATCAGCATCCTTAGCGCATAATACTTGAAGTTTTCGCAGTGGTGATGATTCATATTATGGCACCATGTAATTTTGTAGGTGGATACCCACCAGGCTATGCAGTATTATATAATCAAGAAGACCATAATATGAATCTTCTCACTGCATCCACGGTAACTGTATCCTTTCTGTACACATTTGTAAGATATCTGATAATCACCGTCTTCTTCTCAAGCTTTGTTATGGACAGCCCTGAATTATTGCAGCAATGTTGAAACTCTTACTGTTGTTGTCCCCATGTAACAGTCTTTAGGCATCTTTGCATATAAGAGACCATTGGTTTCATTCACCGCATGAGCAATATTCAGCATAATCATGTTGATTTAATATTTGTCTCATTGGAACTTTTTTTTATCACCATATTGTCTAGGACAGTTACTTATATCCATACATAAGGGGTGGGCCTAACTGCTGGCTCTTGCATCACGACCTTCAATGATCTATTGTACATACTCCTCAATTTTACCTCTTCAACAATCCTACATTTCAAATGAAGTATAGAAATTTGCTTACAAAGGAGTCATGATAGTCATTTGGCTCTTTAAAATAATAGCCTAGGTGACAAAATCTTAGGTAAGCTATGGCCTCACACTCGCATTGGATGTGTGTGGCTGATTCAACTTCTCCAAGGCACGTTTCACAGATAGGACTTTCTCCAATTTCATTTTGAAAAGGTGTCCTTTCAGGTGACACTGTCCTGTAAGCAGTCATTAGTACAGTTGCATCTTTGAGATAATAAACAGAATTTTTTCTTTCTGGTAATAGTACCTTCTGTTATGTTTCCAGCTTTGAATGGTCGAGCAGGTAAGAGGAGTAGTACTTCTGCCATGCCATTCCCTTGTTTCACTTACACTCACAATATCTGTTGCATGATGTTAGCTTCTCACGTTACTTTGTGGAACAGGATATCCATGAAAGTATGACCCAAAAATAAAGTCTCGTCATTAAAAAAATAACTACTTGTATTCTCAAAACAAAATTAAGTTTTATGGAAAGACGTGCTTATTGCCTTTTACTGTGCTGTGCTTTTACTGAAGAGTGAAGGTGGTTTGATGAATTTTAGTCTGCTTTTCATGCCATCATGAAAAGATTGGTTTGTTAGAAAATGTGTTGTAGATACCCTCTAAGTTTGAAAAATGTGATTTTGGAATGCTCTGTGAGTATCTGTACCCCCAGAGCAATTCAGTGCTTTTATAATTGTTAATTTCTCATTCTTTCATTGCCCTGACATAAAATTTAGGGGTATTTTATATGAATGAAATAAAACAAATATGCAGATTTTTGTAAGATTTGAGGCTTTCACGGCGGTGACTATGAAGAAAGCAGTCTTCTGGGATTTGGCACCGTGTATATGTGGTGTTAACCGACGTTTCGGAGGAACGTATCGCCTCCATCTTCAGGGTAGAAGAAAAAATATAAGAAATCTGCA